TACTGTGCAATTAAAGAGGATTAGATTAGAGATAATTGAAGATGAGTGGTTGACTTTAGATTGAATGGTGAAGAGAACCCTCCCTAAGGAAACGAGATCTACATTGAGATTTAAGTGACGAAAGGCCCAGCCGTGCATGATTCTGGGGGAAGAGCATATTAGACAGAGGGACAGCAAAGGCCTGAAGTTGGGTCCCAGCATAATGTTTTCTAAAAGGAGAAGGTCAGTGTGGCTGGAGAGTAAAAGGCAAGGGGAAGAAGGTTAACATCGGGGGGTAGGCAAAGTTGGAATCCTATGGCACACGCAAGCCAGAGAAGTTTAAGTCTGTTCAAGGGGCTATGAGGAGCTATCAGGTGCAAGGGGGGTGGGGCAGTAAGCAAGAGAATAGCATGATCTGACTGACTTTCTCAAAGTTCACCCCATCTGCTGTGTGGAGAGTGGGGAAAGAATAGGTGCATTTTTAATGCAATCGGAACCATTGAAAATTGGTAAGAAAATTGTTTGTGTTTGCTTTTGTTTTTGAGATCTCTCCAAGGTGTAAGGACTAGACTATTGTGGAAAGGGATAAATAGAGAGAGTCAGAGTGGAAGAAATTTTAGTGAATTTGGAAAGTGATGTGAATTAGGATATGAAGCTCAAATGGTGTCCTTGGGTTGTAAGAAAAGAAACAACACTAATTGAGAAACAATTATGCTTATTTTTACATACGTAATCTCTTTTAATTATCACTACCATCAATGTTATAGTTACTTAGCCCCATTTTTCTTATATGAAAACTGAACCTCAGAGAGAGATAAATCAAATTTCCAAATATCCAGCAAAAGCAAGTGGGAAATCCAGGATTCAAAGCTTGGTCTATGTGACTTAAAGCCCTGGTATTTTTCTACTCTAATATGATGTCTCTAGATCAGAATTAACAAAATATCTTTGAGATTTCATTCTAAATAATAAAATAATATTCTGTAATATAAAATACATAGTTTATTTAATGGTACTGATTGACATTTAACTTGTTTCTATATTTTTGCTCCTATAAATAAACTGTGATAAACATTTTATATATTATTTTACCTGATTTCTGTTACTTTCTCACTTGAATTCCTAGAATCCTAGTAGTATCAAAGAATAGGATATTTTTTAAGCTCTATTCATGTAATATCAATTTATTTTCCAGAAAACTTGTGCCATTTAAACTGCCACTTAACCCAAACCAGCATTAAGTATAATTTTTTATCTTTGCCAATTTGATAAACAAACTTTTAATTCTATTGTTTAATTCCTTTACTTACGAATGAGATTGAACATTTTTATACATTTCTTAGCCTTTTCATTTTTCTTCTGTGAATTTTATGTCCACTTAATTGTCTGTTTTCCTACATGGTATTGCTATTTTTTTATTGATGATTTGTAACAGCAAATCAGCAAAACAGTCTTTATGAATTTTTGCAAATAACTTCCCAGAGTGTATTTCACACTTAATTTTCAATTTTTCATTATAAAAATATTATACATAGAAGAGGGTATGTATGCTCCACTTATCTATTGCTGTATAACAAGCCACATCAAAATGTAGTGGCTTCAAACAACAAACATTTTATCTTATCTCACAATTGCATGGGTCTTGGCTAGTTACTTTTTCTGCTCTTATGGCTTTACTTACCTGACAGGTTGGCTGCACTAAAGAGCCCTCAAATGGCTTTACTCGCATGTTTAGTGACCTGGTAAGGATAGAAGAAAGACCAAGTTCTGCCCACATTGCCAACTGGAGCACCAACATGTGGCTGCTCCTACACCGTGGTCTCGGGGGGGGGGGTCATACTTCTTACTTGAAGGCCCAGGACTCCAAAAGACAGTATTTTTGAAATAAGGCAACAACTTTGTGGCCTTGTATGAGCCAAGTTCTCGAGTTACATGGTGACATCTCCACTGTGCACTATTGGGTAAAGCAGTCACAAGTCCTCCTAGATTTGATGGGAGGGAACACAGAGGAGGATCAAAGAATTTGTGGCGATGTTTTCAAACTCTAGGTAGGGTATAAAATTGTTTAAAGAATAAATAAAACTCCCCTTTACTATTAATTTTGTTCATAATGTGTTTATTTGCAACTGGTTTTTAAGTATTTATATAACTTTATCGCTTTTTCTTTGTGATGTTTTCCATTACTTTGTGATTCATTGTCTAAATTACTTTCAAAGTGTCTGTCTATAAAATCAAGGCATTGTCAAGTGAAAGGGAATAAAGGGAAAGGAGAGAAAATGAGTGAAAATATAAGTGAGGGTGACAAAACATGAGAGACACCTAACTCTGGGAAACAAACAAGGGGTAGTGGAAAGGGAGGTGGACAGGGGGCTGGGGTGACTGGGTGACGGGCACTGAGGGGGGCACTTAATGGGATGAGCACTGGGTGTTATGCTATATGTTGGCAAATTGAACACCAATAAAAAAGTTAAAAAATATATTTGGAGAGATGACTTTCAGGTCTTTAGATACTTTAAGTATTATGTATTGTAGTTGAATTCATTTAATTTAATTCTTAACCCTTTTCATCCTTTTCATCCTTAAATTGCCATGAACAACACATTTGAAAATGCATATAAATATGCAGGTCGAACCATACTTTTAATTATGCAGGTTGCTGTGTGGAGGCAAAAAAAAAAAAAAGAAAAGGAAGAAGAAGAAGAAGAAGTCTAACTAAATAGTTCTTGCTTAGTATTTTGCCACATTTTTGGCTCACTCTTCCAAAATGAACTAAAATACAATGAACTACTTTTGGCCTATATAGCTAGTTATTCTTTTCAGGTCTTGCAATTATATTTGAATATTGAATAATTGATTTATTTTTAAGTGGTGATTGTAGCACTCTCTCTTACAGTGTCTTAATTGGCAAAGAAAAAAAAAAGCATCATCCCATAACAGCAACAAAAAAAAGTAGCAGTTATTTTAAAGGACATTCTTCTGGCTAATAGGAAAGAACTCATTTAAAACATGTTATAAACACTCAATAAATACTAAATGATGATACTCACCTCCTGTTCTAAAAAGGTCTTTTCAGTTATTTTCTCTGCTTCCAGTGTTGCATTTCAAAAACTGGTTTTGTCATCTATCTGGGTGCGGAACCGTGAAAGCTATGCAAAGAGTCATAAAATGAGTAAGATGTATGACACACACATGATAGCAATCCTCAGCATTTCTAGCTATCCTGCGTATCTTTCTTCTATTTTATTTTCACCACATGCTGAAAAGAATTAATTTTGGAAGAAGACATTGGAAAAAATTGTATTGTCTGATACAGTTAACCACCATGAGGGCAGGGGTCTGTACTTTTTTTCCCAACATTTATGCATTGTGCCTCACACATAGCAGTGCTCAGTGAGTATTTGCTGAAGAAAAATTTGGGCATAAGCCCAGCAGTATTTATCAGCCTGTTTCTCCTGTCCAGTCTGAATCTGAAGAGGTTCTTTTTTCATGGGGCAGCTGTTTGTGCAGTATCTCCTTCATATTTGTCTTTACTAAATGCCAGTCACACCATACGAGGAATGAACTGGAAGAGTCAAACCCCTGAGTCCATTTACCATCATTGAACTTAATTATTAGAGATCATTTGAGATCCCATGGCTTTCTAGAGACAAAAGATTCTCAAATCACCTATGGTGATCTCAAACTATATTTATGCCTGAGAATTCACAAGTTAAGCCAAAGTTCAGAGTGTTGGTGTATCCAGCCATCAGGCCTGTGCACACATATTCAAGATCGGGCTTTGTGTTTTAGGGACACTTGTGTTTTACAGACATTTAAGCAACTAGAAGACATTCAAGTACTTCTTCGTTTCATGTTAAATGCAGAATACAGAAAAACTCTAGATTTCTACTCTCTACTAGCCACAAGTAGATATTTAAATTTAAATTTATTAAAATGAAATAAAACTAAAACCTCAGTTCCTCACTCACACTAGCCACCTTTCAAGAATTCAATAATCTTATGTGGCCAGTGGCTAACATATTCAATAGTGAGATATGTAACATTTCCATTTTCACAGAAAGTTTTACTGAATATTACTGCTCTAGAATATATCACTTATATCGCATTGCAGAAAATCTAAATTGGATACCTGATTCTACACCTACTTCTTAATCAACCAATCATGGATTTTAAATCTTTTTATTTATTTGAATGTCTGAAGTTGTTCCTATTGAAATATTTTTTGAGCAACAAATGTAGAGAATATTTCCTAAACAAATGTCTATGAAATATACCAAAATAACTTAGAGAGTCTCTATTATCCAAAGCACAGTTACATTTCTGAAAATTGAAGTTAAGTGGAGAGAAATCCCATATGATTTGTAAAAAGTCCAAATTACAGATGATTTATAAAATATATTTAATTAAATTATATCCAAAGCTCAAATGAAAACCTACAAGTGTTGCCAAATTAAAGTTCTATCAGATCTGACTTGATAAATAACAAGGAATAATTTCTAACTCAAATACTGATGCATGCAAATTAGATGGAAATATGTTGCTGGGAAAGTTTACTCTTCTTAAATAAATCTAACTTTTCTCCCCTAGGCATTATTTCTTCAAAAATTTGCTTCCTCTGTAGCTAATGCCAAATCCTTTCTAAATTACCTCAAATCTGTGTTAATGAGAAATAATTTAATGACAACACATAATAATATCCATGAAAAGGAATAAAGATGTACAATAGATTATCTAGACAAAAACTCTCTATAGCATGTGTGTTAAAACAAATAAGTGCATATTTGCATATGTAGAAACACAAAAAGATGATTCTCTCCTAAACAGTATACAAGGATCTCTAATATCTCCTAAACGTGCACTTATGTTTTGGTCAATAATAGCATTTTTTTAATTGAAGTATGTATTTATGCATTTCTATTATATGATTTCTCCTTTGATCCCAAAATAATATACTTTGATGATAATTCAGCTTTCTTGTTGTCTTCCAATTGAGTCAAAGTATCCTCTTTTTTCTACCTCAGAAGCTGTTCTGGAAGTGTAACAGCACCTGGTGCAGAGACAGAAACCAGCTCCAGGTGTGCCACAGGAAGGCATAAGCAAGGACACTGGTTCTTGGCCAGCCAAGTCTAAATGTAAGTGTGAGAAACAATGGAGGGTGGTGCAGCGGGCCAGCCCTGGGTGGTCAGTCCCAGAGCACGGGGGACGGTTGGCAGACACAGAGGTATCCGGCTTGCCTGCAGGTCCTGTGTCCCATCCCCATCTTCACTGCTGCAAAAGCCTTGAGACCATGGCTAATGCCAGGTTTTAAAATCCCCCAGGGTACAATACATGTGCAGAGTGTGATTCTAGCTGATTTTTAAGCCCAGGCATGTTGAATAGTCTTAAAATAATTATTTCCATAGGACCCGACTAGGTATCCAAGTGTTCACCAGATGCTAGCAGCTAGATTTTGCAGAGGAAAATTGCTAACTTAAGCTTCTTTTCATGATTCAGCAGAGGGTTTTAAGTAATAAAAGATCTGGAGATTTGTAAAATAAATAATTCCAGTGCAAATGGGAAAATTGAAATAATCTTATCATCTCCCAGTCATGTCTCTATGTGCTTTTATGCCATTATCAAGTTTCTCTTAATTGGACCAACGTTTTGTGTCTTTTTATTTTTTCTGGTTGATACTTTATAGTTTTAAGTTATGAGCTGTAATGAAGAAATGATTCCTTTCAGATGACTGGTGACATGTACTGAATTTTCCTAATGGCAATCTAGGATGTTTGAAACAGAGCATAATATAACAAATACAGTTCTATACATGTGCAATATTGAATATATCCACAATTAATAAACAACAGCATGCCAATAATTCTTTAACTGATCTCTTAGTCAAAGCAATTAAAATATAAAGTACATCATTAATTTTTGAACTTTGATTGGAAAAAAAAATCCTCACCATTATTTCTGACGAGTAGACATTATCTCATAGTATTTGCAGCCATCCTCTGCTTATTACCACTGCCTGGTCTTAAGTGTGACTTTTGGACACCCAACTCCATATTTCCTAATATGGATAGTACAATGGCTTTTCATAGTCAATTTCGTTTTATTTAGTAATTTGAAGAATGAATAGTTAAGATTCCTCAGATTTTTACATTCTCACTCAAGGTGCACGTGAACAAAAAGAAAAGTGTAGCATTGGGCCCTACAGCTAATGCCACATGACCACATCCTGTCTTAAATGAATTCATTCAGAGTTTTTTGAATGCAAATGCAAATACATTAGTAATTTTCTTGAAGTATCACATTTTTACTACAGGTACCTCTAATTGTTTTGGCTGGATTCCATCAAAGCCAGATGTTAATCAAATGAAATATTTATAATGCAAAACCATTGAATAAAAAATAGATGTCCTTTTAAGCAAGAGCTTATAGGACTCAAACCAACCGTGTATTTTGGAAAAGCTGATGAAGGAGGTATGACTCTGTCACATTCATAATGTCAGGATAAGGCTCTGAACTCAATCCAGAGAAATTTTATAATTGTCGCAATCAACTACAGGCTTAGCTTCTGGATTTCTTGTAACAAAATCTTGCTGCCAAGGACATTGATGGGCTCACCCAGTAAAAAATTGCAATAATAATGTTAAACTAAATCATAAAAATGCAGGAGGTGGTTATTATAGGGTAGAGGAACTACTTGTAAAGTTATGGTGGAAATATCAAAAATACATTTTATTGGACTTTTAAAAAATTAAGCTTTGTTTTTAAACTAGGGTGCAAAAGCAATAAAATGTGAAGGTTACTCAAAAAAAAAAAAAGATTTCATTCAATAGTCAACAGCAATGATTCAGCAAATGAAAATAAAAATTACATTAATTCAACACGGTCATCAACTCAGGCAGGCCCAAAGCTTGTATATAATAGTTTTCTAATAAAAATAACCAGCCGAAAGTCATTTTTATGAAGGGATTTTGACAGAAGAAAGAATAAAGAACTTTTTGAATGGGTTTCTTCTAGTGAAAACGAACTTGGTTTGTGCCTAATTTCACACAGTATAAAGCTCTAGATATTTTGTGTGGCTTTAAAGTTCTATGAAGAAATTCATTTGAAATGAATGTAGAAAATAAAAAATGTAAATAAGAAAACCATGATAGACTTACAGTTAGGAAAATGGAAATAGGTCATGGTAACTAATCCTCTGTGTGCCCTTCAAAAGTAAAGAATGTAACTTTTAAAATTATTTTTGAGTAATCTTGAATTACCCTTCTAGTCATCTTTCTTAGTTTCTGAAAATATAGATGGCTGAGTCATATGTCATAGACATTTTGGTAGACAGATTCCCTATTTTTTTCCAGTTAAATAACATACATCTAGAAGTGACAGTTATCATGGAAATAAACTCCTTTCACTCATTAAAATGCCTAATGTGCCTTATACACAGTGAGCACTTAAATAGTATGGATTGAATTATTCCAACTTTCTGTTCAGAGATTAGTGTGTCTCTTAGATTCACACTAGAGAGGTGTCTCTCACACATGGGAATTAAGGAGGTACATCTGTAACCGAAAATAGCCATGGAAAACCTGCTGAATTGATCCATGTCTGTTTTATTAATCAAGCCCACTGCAGAAGGGCTTTCTTGTACTATAATTTGGAGGTAAATAGAATGGGGAAACCACAGTTCAATTTAGAAGTTGTTTGAAACACTGAAGAACGTGGGATTTTATATTATATGACAGCAATAAAGTCCAATCCTTGATGGTTGTAATTTGGATATATAAGTATATAAATATCCTATATGTATAATTTTAACTTCAGAACATATGACAGTGGTCAAGGAGACCCTAACTAGTAACAACCTAATATGGTTGTTACTGACACCCTCTTCCTTATTTCTTTTTTTAGTTGAAAGGTTTGGAGGGTTTTTTTGTTTTGTTTTGTTGTTTTGTTTTGTTTTAAAGCTAGCTTGGTACGAACAGCCTTTAGTTGAAGCAGATGGCTGGAAGTTAGAAGCCTCAGATTCTATCTTTGATTCTCCTACCAACTGGGAATGTGGCCTTGGGCAAGTCTTGAGAGTAAATCTACAATAACAAGGGCAATAATGCCTTACATATGTATCGTGCTTTATGATCTAGTAGAGCACTTACACATACAATATCTTATTTAATCTTTTTTTCCCATGCCCCCTGCCCTCCCACCCCGCCCAGTCTCCTAAGAGGAGTATGGCAGTTACTAACAACCACCATTACAGAGAGTAGAAATTTGAGACCCAGAGACACTAAATCACTTGTTCACAGCCATTTCTATATCAGATGTCAGAGCCAGGAACAGGCACACATGACTCCAAGCTGGTCTTTGTCTTCTCACCTCTATACACCGCCACCCTCTGGTGCCTCCCGAGCTGAAACCGAACAACACTGCCCAATAAGGTAGCCATGAGCCACAGAGGGTACTGAGAGCTCTTGAAATGTGGCTAGTCCCAGTTGAGATGTATTGTGAATGTAAGATACATGTGGGATTTCTAAGACTTTGAATGAAAACAAAGAAGAATGTAAAATATCTCAATACCTCTTATACTGATTGCACATTAAGATGATAGTGTTCTGGATATCTTGAGTTAAATAAAACATTAAAATTACTCTCACCTGTTTCTTTTAACTTTTTTAATGTGGCTACTAGAAAATGTGAAGTCATCTATATTTCTCTTTGTTTCTATTGTCTGAATGGTTCATACTGTTTGTTTTGGGCAGAGAGGACTAGGGGATTCCATTGTTTACATTGTTTGTTTCACACTGTGAAAACTGTATGCACCCGTCTTGATGTGGCTGAGACAAATTTCCAAAGATTCTGTTAAACATAGAGCAATGCAGATTCATAGTTGCAGTTTGGTCCTTCTTATACACCTTCTGCATGCAGGGGAAATGTCAGATTCCATTAGCTGATGCCTCAAATTGTTCACTCATTAAAAGCAGTCATGTTATACTTGCTGAATGCTTGAAAGGCTTAGACTAAAAGTACCATGGAAAGAACTATAAATTATATTTATGACTCTGTAGCACACTTTAAAATACATTCCCATTAAATATTATGAGTGAATGAAACATTAGAGTATTAGGTGATACAGGCAATGTAAATAGTAATTATATATAAATTTATTATAAAATATGGCCTATTTTATTCCCCCTACCAACTCTTTAAGACATTTTATGTATAACCTCTAAAGAAGGATCTTATTCCTGTTTTGAAAAATCTAACTGAAAGTTCTCAGGAAAAAATGGGTTTTCACTTAGGAGAAAAAAATATATATAGCAAAAAAATAGTTCAAATAATTTAAAGCTAATATCTACTTGGCATCATGTGGACTCAGCACTATGCTGAGAGTTAGATCAAGATTATTTCATTTGGGGATTTGAAAATTAGCAGCAGGGAACAGAAGCTAAGCTCTTCACCACTGCTGCCTCTTACTGCAATGCTATTAGAAATCACAATGCAACCTATCACAAAATACTAAAACATTTGGAATTTATTCTATTTCTATTCATTTCAACTCCACAAGGGTTTATCCAGCAAATACAATGGATCAGGAAGCTTCTAGACACTGAAGGAATATTGGGTAATAAGACCAGAGCTCTGCCCTCAAAGCTGGTAGGCTTATGAACATGTTTTTGAAAAATACATACTTATAAAGAAGACTATATGAAGGAGGAGTTACTCTTCACTTTCTAAAGATTTCAACAAAATTTTTTGTTATTTTCTTTATGTACAATATTTTTCTTTATGTCATGACAGAAATCTTTATGATGCTTCTCCCAGTGTGTCGACATGTGCCTGTTGTTTGTAAAGCAAAAGTCTCATGTTAAAAAGGCAAAACAAAACAAAAAAACAGAAACCCAAAAACAGTGTGGTATGAATTTCAGAGGTGCGTTTTCCTGTACATATTATATATACCCACTTGGAGGAAAGTGGGCTGAAATAATCTTAAATATTTTCTGGAAAAAGGAGAATGAAAACAAACAGAAAGGGACTTAAATCAGAATGGCACTGAAAATCACAAAACAGTGAAAATTGAAGAGTTTTATAATTTTTAATACAATAATGTATTTATTCAATGTTACCTTTGAAGGTAGATATTAAAAATTGT